AGCCAGAGGACAGCTTTGCCCAAGCTGAGACACAACAAGGACAGGGCCTTCGGATCGCCCCTTCCACCCAGCTCCATGGTTTCCTCACAAACCACCTGGGGCAAAGCCTCTGACTCCAGGATTAATCCTTCTGAGGTCAATAAAGGCAGAAAAATCACGACCAGGGGGCCTTTCCTTCCCTTCAGCACTGCACCAAGGGTGGCTCCTTCCAGCCTTGACCCATCCACAAGACCGCGGGCACTTAACTTTGCCTCAGTTTCCTTTTCACTTCCCTCACTTCCTACGTGTGGGATGAGGATCCAGCGAGGAAACCCCGCCGAGCGGTGCCGCGCTCAAGCGCTCCCGCCGCTCCTTTGGAGGCGAAAGCCACGAAAGCGGTGGGATTTCTCCTCCGCTTCTGGCTGCAGGCAAGAGAAATCAGCACCGCAGGGACTTCTGCACCTCCTCCGACGTGCAGGTTGTTTGCATTAGCCCTGTGTTCTCCCCCTGCTTTTAGCAACGGGATGTTCGTTGCAAGCCAGACGGCTGGACCGCGTCCCGAGACCGCAGGAGGAGATGACTAATCTGCGTCATTAGGAATTATCTGCACAGAACCCCCACGCGCCTGGGGTTATTCAGCAACCGAGACAGAAAGGGGTTTGTCTGGGATTGCCCCCTTCTCCTTGTGGAGAGGGGTGGGTGGAAGAATCTTGCAGATATTCTGGTCGTCCTGGATCTTTATGGATTTATTTCCGCCCCCCCCCCCTCTGAAAATGCAAGCCCAGCACGTGAGCAGCTCGGAGGTCAGGGGAAAGATGATGTCTAGAGGGTTCACTGCTCCCTGTTAACACAGAGCTTTGGTTTATACAGCAGCAGAAATTACAAAACCGCCTACCTGGCAGGGAACAGCTTTTTTTCCCAGCTGGATTACTCCTTGGCATTACCCTCTTAGCACCCAAGTCAGCTCCACACAAAGAAAAGGGAAAGCATCTTCCTCAAATCCTTGGGATTCCACTCCCTTTGCCATCTCCAGCCAAACCTTTCCCAACGAGTGCTACTGCCTTCCCGGTGCTCTGCTTCTGTCCTCCCCCCAAGGTGGGGCAATCCTTGCAGGTCTCCTCACAAAGACTCTCATCTTCGAGGTGATATTTAGAGACCTCTATTATATTTCTTACATGGTAAAACAGAGCTGATAAAGCCAAACTCCTTTTAAGCTGCTTGAAGACCTATAGAGAGCCCTAAACCATTAACTGTACTTTATTGTAGTTATGAACAAAGCTTGTCCTGCACCCAGCTTGTCAAAGAAAAGAGAGTCCAGAGGTAATGTACTAAAAGAATGACTTTCAGGTCAGTCTGACATTGGTTGTGCTTGGGAAAATGTTCCTCACAAGTACTGGACTTCATTGCCACAGGAGAACTTGCAATCAGCCTTAAGTGGCAGAGGAATAGCTACCTGTCATCACCTGTGATGGAAGCCCACACCAAGGCCTTGTCATCAGGCAAAGAGCAGCACTGACAACCAACTTCATGCTGCAAGTTGCCAAGAACTGTCCTTATAAATAAATGGATGTGCACATAAATAGACAGATGCAAAATAAATATTAATATAATTGCTCCACTCTCCTCCACGCTTTTGTTTGGGATTTCTAACCCTCTGTGGTTTCCCTTCTTATACCACTCATCTCTTGCCTTAGTGATCACAATGCAGATCTTTATTCTGCAGTTTCCTCCTTCCCCTCTTCAGAACCACTGCTATAAACGAACTCCTTTGTCAGTTCAGTCCAGGAGACTGACTGAAAGAACTCCTCCAAGCCAGGCCAGGAGATGCATAAGGAATAACAGAGTGATAAATGGAACCATGGAGGAACAGTGCAGAGGGTGCGCTAGCAGTAATGCCAGGCTTATCCCTCTGTTCCCAAAGAACAGCTCCCTTTTCAAGATTGTGACATAAATGCAGAAGGAAAAGGGTGTCCATCTCTACCCCATTTCTCACAAGGCAGAAAGGCAGCATCAGGCAGTGGCTGACACAGCTGACCAGGATTCAGAAGCCACCAAACCTGCTGCCAGCTGCCTGAGCAATCAAGGGGAGGAAAATCATCTGCACTGATCTCGTTTCTACCTTGTTCTACCACAAGCCACTGGACAACCAGAAACTCAGCTTTAGTCCTAAACTCATTTGTAAGGAAATCAAAATAAGAAAAAAAAAAGATATTTTTTTTAAATTATTTTTTTTTTACACAGTTTGCCAAAGGATAAGTTCATTTCATAACATGATCTGAAACAAAACTGTCAATATTTTTGGGAAGAAATACCGCATAGCACGCACAACCACTGACTGCTTTCTTGTGTGGCCCAGACCTACCAGGAATACTATCTGGCAGGCACCATATTTCAATTTCTGTCAAGAGAGCACTGAGGAACCCCTCCAGGAGACAGAGAAGAGATAGCACTTTTGTTGTGCTTCTTTGTGGACTAAAAAAAAAATGCTGCAAGCCACAAAGCGACATTCTTGTTTAAAGTGTTTTTCAGTGGAAATCTGGAACACTGACTAGAGGATTCCCATGCCTCAGAAAAGCATTTTTTTTTTCCACAGAAAGAAAAAAATAAAAATATTATAATTTATTTTTTTTTAATCTAACAATTGAGCATCCAGACTCAAGTATTTTGATGTGAGCATGTTGCTGCAGGGCCTCTTATGAGGCACCTACAATGAGAAACCCAAGGGGAAAATTTAGCATGTAAATGCCCCATGCCTCACAATTCCTGTCCAAGGAGGGAGACTGTGCAGTAGATTTTTCAGCCCAACCAGCCAACCTGATCACAAGGAAAAATTAAGACAAAAAAAAAAGAAAAAAAGGAACACCAAGTACTAAAGGAACAACAAATCACAGACACAACAACAGCATTTCCAAAGCAATCTTTCCCCCCATCGATTTCCGTGCTAAAAACCAAGGAAAAAAACCTTAAAACTGACCCAAACAATTTGATTAAAAGCTTCTGAGCTGCAAATGTGAACCGAGTCCCCACTAATTCCATCTACTTTGGCCACTCCCCACCTCGCAGACTAGACTCCCGTCGTCCCATGAGCCAGACTTGTTCCAGCCAGTCCAACTTAGTGAAGCAACAATTCAACATCCTCCAACGCCCTTCATCTCGTGGGGCCTGTTGGTCTGATTCCTCAGCCCTGGATGCACACGGAGAGCAGGATACTGACTATTTATGCCTCCTGCATTAGAGAGCTCTGAGTAAGTATGAGCACGTAGCTACGGCCGGTCC